GACATATAGTAATAGATAATGTATAATGTAAAAAGTTGTACAAACTGTAACAATATGTTCAAATAAACAGACCTGAGACATAACCTCACCTTAACTCCAAAAAAAAAAAAAAAAAAAAAAACATCATTCTAAATATTTCTAATTTGATATGTACCTTTTATAATAAGTTGACTATATGTATTGTCCAACATTATTTAGTAGAAAGTAATATATTTTTTATTAGATTTAAAATCCTTAAGATTCTTTTGTATAATAAATTTTAAAGCTATAGTAATAGATAGTCTTAGCAATAATGTTTTAAAAAGTACTTTAAAATCTATATATGAGTTCTAAGTGATTTGATTTACATTAACAAACTGGATTTTTGTTTATAGTATGAGAATAATAAGATTAGAACTAAAGATGAAAAAGTGCTTCTTACAAATATATAACTAGTTAAATTGAAAATTGAAGTACTATTTTTACATGTAATAGATATTATAAATATATACAAATCTTTTATTGCATATTGATATAAAATAGACAATCAAATGTCTTATGTTCTTTTAACTAATTCTATTAGTGTTTTCCATTTAATAAATATATTATATTCATCTTTTTAACCTAATTCCATATATTATTTTTTTTTAATATTAACTTTATTAGCACTTCTGATCTTTAATCAATATTGTGTAGCTTTTTTAATATAACCAGAAGTATTTGCTTGCCAGAAAAATAGTTGTCGATTTTCATATTCTAATATTTCTAAAATTGCTGATTTTCTAGATTGTTTATGTTCATCATTCTTTAATGTATTTTGAAAATATTGACATACTTGAATATAGTTTTTTTTCTCTAAAGCTGAATATAAAAAAGCCATTAATCCTAAATCTCTATAAATATCCATAAACTTAGAGATATAATAAACTAAAGTATGCATATATGATGTACAATCTGTTGCTTGATATAATCCTCATACAAAATTTCTATTTGAGTATTCTTGAGACAGAGTTAAAAAGTATTCTAACCATTCAATTGACTTTTTTTTAAAACTATTACTATTTATTTCTTTTTTATGTAAATCATTGTATAGTTTAGCAAATTCATCCCAGAGTTTTCATAATTCATTTTGTTTAATCATTGGTAAATAATTAGTACTAATATTCTTAAAATTAAAATTATGTAAAATTTTAAGTTTGTCTGAACTCATTAATAATACATAACATAATTTTTTTGTATTTTTATCAGTTCAAAATTGAAAATTCACCTTAATTTGTTTTATTTCTACTAATATTTTCTGCTAAATATCTTTATCTAACTCTCTATTTCATTATAAATCAGATAAAAATAGTTTAAAAAGTCGATTAGTAATGCGAAGCATTACATGAAGCTCATCACATACTCAATTTTTAAGATCAATTATATTAAATAAAGGTGCTTGTTGATGCTCTTTAATTTTTAAAAAATTTTCTCTATTTGTTTCATATTTTTAGTAATTGTCCAATTACTAGCTAGTTTGTTATTTTGATCAAGAATGCCATTTTGCTGCTTAGTACATGTATACTATAGGCAAAAATGAGTTGAATTTGCAGAATTAAAACCTAAACAGGTAACTAAAAACTTCCAATCTGCACTAAAAAACAATTCTACATTCCAATGCCAGCTATTAAGTTGGTAAAATCCAGATTTCTTTAAATTTCTTAGATTAGAAATCAATAAGCCAAGTGCATTTTGAAGAGATTAATAATTTTCTAATTCAAAATAAAAAACAAGTATATGATATCCTTCAGGCTTATATAATCTTTCAATATCATTAAGCAATATAGCTATTATTATTACATGTTGGACCTTTCTTTTAACATTTCTACTATTTTCAGATATACAAAGTTTGATGATAGTTTCATTTGGAATTAAAAGTTCTTTTTTTATATATTCTGGTATTATAAAATTTAAAATATCAATTATAAAATGTTGACCATCTTTTTCAACAGATTCAACTATATTATTAACAATATTAAAGTTTGTAAAATGTAGTTGATCTATTGTTAATTTAGAAATAATAGATTGTTCTATATTTATAAGTAATAAAGGAACTAAATTGTTCATTTGTTCATTAAATTTTTGATGTATGCTTAAGATTGCACCATCTTTTGACAAATCTTAATTAATATGTGCTAATGATCAATAAGCTTTACGAGATATCTTGCCTTTATCTAATGACTTTAGAATTGCTAAATGCAATTTTTCTATATCTTTTTGATTAAATTTCTATATTGAATTTCAAATAGTTTGTTATTTATAGTAAAAAATACTTGCTTAATTTCTACTTTATTATCACTATAAAAAATGTTTTCTTTGCAATCTTTAACCTGATCAAATACATGTTTAGCCATTGTTAACATATAACATCATTGAGTAGAATCGCTAAAGATTGAGCTTTAAGATGTATATTGAATAGTAATATTTTTCTAACTATATAAACACTATTTAATTGTAACCTAAACAATTGTATACCTAACATTTGAAGATCCTTTTTTTTATTTTTCTTTTCATTAGTTATATTTGTATTTATTTCTTAGATTTCTTTACTTGACAAAGTTTCTTTATTTTTTAATATTTTTAAACCCTTCAAATGATATTAAATTTAATATAATAAATATTTCTAACATTAGCATTAATAATTTTTTTAAAAAATTTAATTATATTCACTTTGCAGTACTTAGTTGCAGCATCTGATGAAGATTTTGTTGAATAAACCATATAGTTGTCAAACATTATTGTAAAATATGGCTTGTTATTAATATACTGAATAGAACACTCTGCAATATGTTTCTTTTTTCTATACATTGTGTGAACAATATACTGATCAGAAATAGCATATTGTTTAGGTTTTTTAGTATAAACAAATTTATGAAAAGAAGAAGAAATTCCTTCATTTATAATTATATAGTCCTATGATCTATGAGAGCTTTTATATATAATATGTGAATTTTCAAAATATGTACTTATTTTGTATCCTTTCATGAATGTTAAATGAAGAAGTATGTATATATATATATAATGCATATTATACATATTAAAATATATAGTAATTAATATACCAAATATGTAGTAACTAGTTAATCACATGAACTGAGTAATGTATGACAGTTTGAAATTTTTTTTTTTCTTGCATTTAAAATTTTGTATTATGTAACATCCTTTTGTGCAATCACCAATATCATTGACCACTTTATTAAGCATATAAGTACTACTATAATAGTACAAAAATAAGAGTAAATAAAAAGTATAGTTAGATATAATTTATAATTTATAATCAAAGTATATAAAAAAAATCATACTATGCAAAGCCTTGAGATAATTCATTCAAACCATATAATGTAAAGACTTTTTTTATAACAAGCTACAGAGAAAATATAAATAATAATTCTGTAATAACTTTTCCAAACAAATCAGTTAATATAGCTAAACATGTAAATATGTTTAATACAAAGTAATAGAATTATAAAAATAAAAAAATCTCAAATTTCACATACAATTTATCTAAGATTATAGCATGGTCAATAAAATCTTGAGTTCTATATTTAAAACCAAATTTTTCATAAACCTTAGAAATTGGTACAGTGTTTAGATTAATGATCTAAGAAAATACAGATTATATTAGTTTATATATAATTTATTTTAATAGTTAGTATTATAAATGTTATAAGTAAGAAATTCTATAGACTATTGTGAATATCATGAATTAGCACAACGAAGCTGTAGTAATACATAATGTTACAGCACATTATTGAATATCTGTTATATTTCATGGTCCTATGCCTATAACATTTTTGATTAAAAATTTTTACTGATAATGTCATGCCTACTACCAATATCATGCCTGCACCAATATCTACTACTATTATCATCACTATATCTTCTTCATCAACATCTGCTACTACTACTGCTACTATATCTTCTATACCAACATCTATCACTACTACCGATGTTATATCTGCACTTATATCTACCACCACTACCACCACATCTGCACCTATACCTACTGCTATCATGATCAGGAAAATAAAACATTTAATTAAAGAATTAAATACCCCTATTATAAGAAATAATTATAATTCTAACAATGATAGTATTAATACTAA